TTAACGCAATTCAAGATATTTTTACAATTGGTTTTAGGAATTTCTGATGAAAAGTTGTGGTTTTTCATATATTTTTGAATTTGACATTTGAAGAATAATTGGACCACCCTAGTGAATTATTTCGTATTAGATCCTAAATGGTGGTTTAATTCGATATATAAGCAGGTTGGAGACAATTGTGAACAGTTTTAGAAGCCGACTCATCAATCTTCTATATTCCATATAGAACTCATGAAAAAAATTCTAAGTCCCAGAAAGTCGATTTTTGGAAAAAAAAAAATTCGAGATAACACCAAATCTCGACGTTTCGGGCATTTTTAAGACATTTGGCATCAAAAATTTTTTTTTTTTTTTGATTTCCGAAATTTCATGTACCCCCCTTGGGAGATTTTCGAAAGTGAAAAAAGTCAAACTTTGACGCGTTTGCGCCACCCCTAAATCATGTCCGATTGAGCTCAAATTTTGCATAGGGTCATTTTCGAGGCAATAAACATTTTGTATATGGTTTGCTAGCGAAATTAAAAATTACCATTTTCGCTGGCAGTCTAATGTGCATCACATTGAACATAAATTTACACTACTTTTTCGAACCGTGCAGTCCTACAGGTTAGACGTATGTAGTTCTCAATTGGCGTTGACGGCACCGTCGAAAAATTTGCTATTCCAGCAAATATAGACAGTTTCTTATGGGAATTTTCGGTGGAGTGAAAGGATAGTACAAAGTCCGCCATGTTTCACGCACAGTCTGACGTTTGCTTATGGATTTTCTCATAGGAGTAAAGAGTTACAGAGTCGCCGTCAACGCCAATAGCTCTGGTGTGTCGGGTGATTCCCGACTGTTCTCGGCACAGTTATTGATTGAGAGCTTTCGATGTCTGTACCATTTTTGCATTAGTATAGTTGTGTGGCAAGTTCAATAATTTTCAATTTTCTCATAATAGAATCGTTCGCACCTTAAATAGCCTTAAAAAATTTACATTTTGGCGATTGATAGACCACCTGACTAATATAGCGTTTTTAAGGCTTATTTTAGTGTTATTATATAGCCATTTTGAAGATATCAAAGTAATTTTTGGCGCTTTTTTTCTAGATTTTTATGAGAATTTGTAGGTCTATTTTAAATCACCAATCCGTGTTGGAATATACAATCCATTTTGGTATTATTGACGATTTTTGTAGTTTTGAAGCCATTCTGACAATTTCAACGTTTAAAAGGTCATATTGGTGTATTCAAGATTATTTCGAGGAGTAGCTGGTTGACGCAGAACGAACCAAGAGGCATCGGGCGATTCTACAATTTGGCGCAGCCGGTAGGATTTTTTTGAAAGAGATCGGTGGCTGGAGAGATGGAGGATAATTTTACTTGGATACGGCACGTAGAGGTGATTTAATTAATTGTGTTTAAAGATGCACCTGGAAGCATAAATTATGATGAAGCAAGTCCAGGTAAGAAGCTGCAGTGCTACGCGAGTCCGGTTTTCAACCGAAGCGCTAGAGGAAAACAAAAGCGAGTCCAGTGAAACACTGAAGCGCACTATCACATTGCTAGGCCAGTTTATGAGCTGTAGAGCACAAGCGAGTCCGTTTATCAACCGAAGCGCTAGAGAGAAAAAAAAGCGAGTCCAGTGAAATACTGAAGCGCATTAGATACTACATACTACATTGCTAGGTCAGCTGATGAGCTGCAGAGCACAAGCGAGTCCGGTTCTAAACCGAACCGCTACACGAAAAAGCGAGTCCAGTGAAACACTCAAGCGCACTACTACATTGCTACGCCAACCTACAAGCTGAAGCGCAAGAGCGAGACAGGTGATCTACCTTAGTGCTGTTTGATAAGTGAGTGAGCGAGACCAGTTGTTTCAGACTGTGGCGCATGATTAATCTGGAATTGGAATTGGAAAGCAAAAGTATTTGTAATTGTATGATAGCTAAAACAGAGGACCGCAAAGTGAGTCGAAGGGTTGAAATGCGAGAGCGAGTGTAATGAAATAAATCGCTTGATTAAAATAAGGCACAGTAAAATGCTGAAGTGCATTACTGTTGATTCTTAGTGCATTTAGTGAATAAGCAAGATCAGTTGTTGCAGATCATAGTGCTAATTATTGTGGACAATCTGATAGACCTAAAAGCAACTGATTTGGAAATTGGATTTAAAAAAAAAAGAAACAAACGAAGTATGTAAGAGGAAATAGTATTGATTGATTGATTGATTTCCTTTATTTAAGAGATTTTCAGCCGTAAGATGGTTCATCTCCGGATAGAGAGATTATTATTGTGAGCAGTGCGGTAAAACTTCAAACTCAAACGAAAATAAACCACGAAAATGAGAAAGGCAACCTTTCATTATCAACACACCATGGATTAATCATTTGAGCTTCGTTAACATCTTCAATTGAGTCATGAAAGGTTCATTGTCAAACGAGAAACCCCTTCTTGTCGTTTGATTCATTAGTCATTTACATGCAATTGAAACAAACCTGCCTCCTTCATTGACTCAGCTTGTGGTAGTGAACCATGAAATCGGTTCATTCGCTGTCAAATTTACATAAATGAACAGCGTCACGATAGTTGACAACAGGTCCGACTATGTAAACTGTCATCTCTTTCATCCCTATATGACGTCAAAAGAAGCTTCGAGTTTGACGTCATATGTGCTGCTGTGTAAGTAAATCCGAAGAATGAAAGAAACATGAAATACATTTTGTCAAACCTGTATTTCATTCCTTGACGCAAAGCAGTACACAAGAAACGAAAACAAAAACAATCGTATCAAAACAAAACGTCGATTTGCAAGCAGCTGAAAGTTTTGGTTGTATTTTGAGAGGTATTTTCTGCAATGTAATATAATACTGATTCTTCTATAAATTCTACTCACATTTTCAAATTACGGCAGAGAGCAATTATAAATCCGTTTCGTTTCGTCTGGCAAAGTTTTGCACACATTCATCCCAAATGATACTGCGTACTGTAGTGCTCCAAAATTACCGAAGGTATGATGTGGAACTTGTGGATCACTCCAGGATTTGCATGCAGAGCACCATTAAAAGCGATAAAACCATGCATCTGACATTGCGAGTGTTGCGAAGATTTCTTGCTCTGCACTAACTGTTGGATAACGCGGATAAATTGAGGAGATAACAGTAAAGGAGAGTGTCCATACTTGATTCGAGGGGAGACTTGACCCTCATGATGGTTGTTTTGTAAATCTGGTGTATGCAGTAACAGAATCCAACTAGCTCAAATCTAGATTCAGCTAGAAAAATGGCCTAGAAGCTTTTGTAAACAAAGACTTCTCTCGATGATGCTTAGGAATTCGAGACACTCCCACGCAAACCAACATAACACCTGGGTTGGGGGCAGTCTTTCCCTACCCAATGGTTATGTGGGTTTACGTGGGTGAGTTTTTAGTTTCTGGAAATCATCTAGAGAAGGCATTGTTTTCAAAAACTGTTAGGCCCTTTTTCCAGTTCTACAGAAATAAACAAAACTTTTTAGCATTGGCTACGCATCTCATGAAAGTGGATCAAGCATACCCCGAATCAAGTATAGCCACCTACCTCTACAATTGTCATCACCATTTCTTAATAAATCGATTTTTTATGAATGGCCTTATTTGAATTATTGAAAAAATAACGACATTGAATTCCTTTTGGGTGAAGTGAGTTAGTCTGTCAGTGTACATAATTTTCAAATTGTCTACATGTAATTTAATCTTTCAAGAATGGTGAAGTGGTTACTAACTGAAGAATAAATTAATTAAATGAACATGAATAAGGAAGAGTTCACGAGCTATAAGAAAAGTGCTCACTGGTAAGGTGGTTGGTTTTTATGTGTTGATTATTGCCTGGGTGCCTATATGCTATAGCCATAAAGATTGAATAATTCTAGATAGAACTGGAAAAGGGCCTAACAACTTTTATCAACAATACCTTCTCTACATGATTTTTAGAAAATCAGACTTGCCCACGTAAACCAACATAACTTTCGGGTAGGGAAAGACTGCCCCTGTCTGGTGGTTATTTTGGTTTGCGTGAGCGTGTCTTAAATTCCTAGTCATCATTGAGAGAAGTCATCGTGTACAACAGGTGCTAGGCCCTTATTCTATTTGAATATATGTCCTTATTATCACTGATCATAGAAAAACAAGTAATCCCTCCATTTATGTGGCGGGTGGTGCCGTCCACCCACCTCTATTTTTCTGTTGTCTTTCAACCAATTGAGCCAAGAAACAGTTGAAACAAAGCAATTGATGAAAATTAAAAAAAAATAAGAAAATCAGTTGATTCCGAAGATGCCGTCCTCAATAGTCGGCCAATGAATCCTTCCAATTGTATAGAGTAGGGATTATTTGTTCATAAACCTCCCGGTTTAGCTTTATCAGTAGGATGTTTTCCAATGTGCCCTCGCCTAATGTGGACCGATGGGGTGAAAGAACCAGTGCTAGAGCGCTGAACGCCCTTTCAACCATTGACTGCGTCGCTGGTACAGACATTACCACTGCAGCAACAGCAGATAGCTCACGGTGACTAGTCTTACGGTTCATCCAATGTTGCCACACGTTGTATGACGTAGGTTGTTTTATACATGAGACTTTGGTAGGTATTGTTTCGGGGTAGATATCCGGGAGTTAATTAAATACGCTTGTGCTCTGGTTTATCACCAAAAGATTTCTGATCTGTTTATTCCAATTCGTAAACTTTACACTTCTATATTCTCTTTTTCATACCCTCTATCTTTATCTGACAGAACTCTCTCGTTCTCACATTTTACCGTCTTACCGAATAACATCGAAATAGGATACTTCCTATTTTACCTACAGCTTGTATACAACAGGTTGACGTTGTTCCGCCTCAAGAGCCTTAACCTGCTGCTGGAATGTGGAGTTTGAAGATGAAGCAACCAATGTTCCACCAAACATTTCCGTGATAAAATCATCCTTTTCGTTGGTTTCACTGTTGTCATTAGCCGAGGTAGTCGGTTCAACGGAATCGATTTCCAGCCGTTTGATGCGTTCCCATGTTTGAAAAATAAATCTCTGTATATTTAGGAAAAAAAAAATTTATGAACTCTGATGTGCCTGGTATAAACTGTACCGTTTTATTTATTGTTACCTGTATATGTTCCTTTTCGGCAATGGTGAATATTTTTGAATTTATGAAAGAAAGCCGCGGGTCCAGATATAATGCCATTTTAAACGCCATAGAGCCTTTGAGGTTTGTGAGTCTCCTTGTCAGCGATTCGACCAAAACTTTGGAAAACGGATTGTTTTCCAGCTGTCTCACCTCGCGTATTGTCATCAACCATTCAAGATAAAAATCGTTAAGTGACATGTGAGCTTCTTGGAATTTTTTTGTGCAAACGAATAATGGCCTGAATGCTTCAGCATATTGCTCGACGAATTCCCAGTTGGATGAAAGATCTGTTATAAATAATGATGATGATTTGTGTTATCGTTATTTCTTTTGTAGAGTTCTAAATTTATCTTACATAGCTCAGGGAACTCCTGTCCCAGTTGGACAAAGAAGGATTTCTGCTCTAAAAAACTATCGAGCATCTTGAATATCCCACCACAGACAAACAGACGTAACTCTTTATTGTGTATCTTCGTTCATGCATTTAACGGTTGATTTGAATATTATCAGTTCCGCGAACTACTCGCCGCAGCGCTGGCATCGGATCACTTTGAAGTTTCTATATATTCTATAGAAATTTTATACAATATTGTTTACGAGTTAGCGAGCAAGCTTGTTTTCCGCGAGAAGCCAGATAGATGTCGTTACTGAGGTTATATGTTTTGAGATACTATGTTTTCAAGAACAAGTTTTTCAAAGAGTTACGTCTGTTTGTCTGTGATCCCACCCCATCTTGTCTGGCACCAAACCGGAGGATATGTGGCGTTGTGGTAATCGAAATTCGTTTTGTATTTCACGTTTTTACAGCGTTTGGCAACCTCAGTAACTTGCTTCACGTTAGGGTGGCTTTTATCCACGACATCGAGGATGGCCAGCTGTAGGGTGTGTACAGCACATCTCACCAGGCTTAAGTTCTCTCGTGCCTGGTCATGGAACTCATTTGTAATCTTCTCGGCCATTTCCTCAGCAATGCTGTTTGATGCTTCGTCGTCTTCTTCAGTCAACATAGGAATCAATGATGCCTCAAACTCATCCTTGAGCTGCCTGACACAAGCAAGCATGTTGGCTCCATTGTCGACCGTTATCGCAAAAATTTGATCAAGCTTGAGACCATATCGAGCCAGTATTTCGAGAACTTTTGATTTCAAAAAACCAGCAGTTTGACGGTCCTTGACCTCGATCATACCTATAGCAAATATGTTCTCAAAAAAAGTGTCAAAAATAATTATAGATCTTCTCACCTAGTGTTCTGGTTACAATTGTGTCACCCACAGCGAATTGCACTAGAATCCCCAGAACATGATGGTTAAGTCGAGAGGCTGAGTCGATCATTAAGCATAACAGTCTGGTTTTCATTTCGATTGCCATGGTTGTCCGGATTTTAGATGCTGCTTGCTCAATGTGTACTGTTGCGTTTGATCGGTTCAGCTTGATTCCCACAGCTGCTTCTAAGGGATCCAGTAGCTGTCTAAGGCCTTCCCACTGGAAACACGACAGTGGAAGATGATGGTAGGTTACGAGTTTTATGGCTGAATCCACGAGCAACTGTTTGTCAATTGGAACTGATTTTTTAGGGATAATTCGAGGTTTTTTCTTCGGCGTTGCATGTTCACCAGTGATGGAAATCAATGAGCAAAGAAAAATAACTCTGCACACAATAACGCAAATGGTTCATGAACCATATGAGCAGGATTGGTTCAAAATAATCTGAATCGGTTCATTCGATACATTTTTGTTTATCTGGTTCATAAACCATTTCTAACTGAGCTGCTTGAGTCTTAACTATTCATTACTTGATTCATTAGCCTCAATACATTGCGTGACACAGTCGTGAACCTCTTGTGAATGAATACTTAAAGCGAACTGTCAAAGAATCATTTCAGTTTAACGTGTTTTGTTCGCTACAGCTAAATATTTACGTAACCAGTTTTAGTTTTTCGTAAATAGTGAAATAGCATGGTTGGAAATTTTACTGTCGATGATCAATCCGATTCTTCCATCACGATGGAGTCGGAAATGCAGTCTGAAGATGGCATTAAGTCTGGGGTAGATACTCAAGAGTCAAGTGGTATCAGCAGCCGGAAGAGGAGCTATGCCGAGTCAGCTGAATCGAAACCAACCAAAAAGTCAATCATATTGATACATACAAAGCAAATCCTCAGAAACGACGCAAAAATGGTGGTTTGTACTCTAGAACCGAACTGTCCTTATGCTCAAAAAGTGTTTCGATCACAAAATTTCGACCGACATTTCCGTATGGCCCATTTATCGGCCTACAACTTGTTGTGTATTGGAGAACCGTCAATAAAACCCCATGAAGCATCAGATCCTGCCATCACCGTCCGTATGTCAAAGCAGAGATTGATTGGCGGAGTAGTGAAGCTAGTTATCATCCATGAACTACCATTTGCATCAGTTGAGTGGGACGGCTTCCGTGATATTTTGGATCCTTTAGTCAAGCCATTCAATATCACCTTAAACCGACATAATATCACGGACTACATTAAAACAGCGGCTGAAGGAATAGATTGCACAGCAAAAAAATAATTTTGATATCACGTCAAAGTGGATGCACTACAATCATGTCGAAAATATGGTGTAATATTACTTGCTAAAAAGGACAAAATTATCATTAATACAATGCATGAACTGACATTACGCTGCTTTTACTGCATTTGTTTATTTATGTGGTCATAAAAATTACATGAAATTTTCGACATGATTGTAGTGCATCCACTTTGATGTGATATCAAAATTATTTTTTTGCTGTGTGGCTTATCATACAAGAGCTAAAAGGAATCATACTTTCTTTAAAACTTGATATTGTTTCGAAAATGTATCGAAGTTTTTTGGGCGTGAACTGTCAGTATGTTTCAAGCAGCGGAATGATTATTAAGAGAACACTTGGTATGTGCTAATACTAGAACCAATTTTCATTTTATGAATTTTAACCTCTGTACAACTAAATTTAATTACAGGTATCATCGAGTTGCATGATCGGCATACCGGTCAAAATCTTAAAGAAGAGCTTAATAAGCTTCTGAAGCATTTTGAATTGGAAGTCTGGCAAATATTTTCAATAACGATCGACAATGCAACTAATATGGTTAAACTAGTTCGCCTATTTTCACAAGAAGCAGAAACTGTAGAACTAAACAATGATGATGGAATAATATCTGATCCGGAGTGGAATCTGGAAAGCGCTGAAGACGAAGAGGTAGAACAACTGAAAAACGAAGCGGAAGACGATACGCTTGAAACGACGCTTGAAACTGAGTCATACGAGTCACCCGAAGAACAGACATGGGCGAAGGTACTTGTAGATGCAACCACGGACGAGTTCGTTGCCATTCGTTGTGGAGCCCATACAACCCAGTTGGTTGTTCATGATGTATGCCGTGAAAAACAATTCAGAGAAACCTTGAAAGAAATTCGAAAGAAAACGAAAAAATTCCGTTCTGCAGAATACAAAGCGTTCTTCGAAGCCAGCGAAGGTGCTTATCCCCCACTTCCTAACGAGACCAGATGGAACACCGACTTATGCTAGCTTTGAAAAACGGAAAAAAGTTTTTCCGTAACTTGGGAAAACAATACACAGAACTTGGTAAGTATTTGTTTCTTATACACATGTATTTTAAAAGGTTCTTTTGGAATGTGAATTTTTTAATGATTTTATTTCAGATCTCTCTAAAGAGTGGGCATTTATCGAAGAGTATGCAGTGTCATTCGAGCCACTTTTCAACTGCACCATAGCCGTTCAGCAATTACAGCTTACTTTGTCCGATTTTTATATTGAATGGATTCGCGCGTATGGTCGCGTATCAGGATTTGACGATGCTAACCGATTCAAGTCCCATATTATATCTGCCATGGATCGCCGACAGCAAAAACTTTTTTGCAACAAAATTTTTCGTGCTGCCATTTATTTTGATCCAAGATTTAATTTCAATGGATCCAACCTGCTTTCTAATTCACAGAAAGAAGAAATCGTTGTAAGTATTGATGGTATTTAGGATCAATCTGTTTTGTCACGCGAAATAAGGGGAAATTCAACCCCCCCTCCCTGTTTTGTCTTATACCTTATACATTGCTTGTCACTCCCCCATGACGTACTAAATGGATCACCCCTTAATAGAATAGTTGATTTTAAGTCACAATCTAAAAAAAAAACAGTTGAAAAATCAATCTTCTGTCAAATATAAAATGTAAATCAAAATTGAGTTTGAATTTTTCAATTTATATTTTCAGGAATTTCTTATGCAAACATTCAGTCGTATCAAACCCAGCACTCCAACACCTGTTTCAACAAGACCTTCCAATTCCAACAATGTATCGTCATCCTCCACACCGGAACAGTTAAGCTTGAATAATTATTTGACTAAAACTATTGGCGCAGGAACCCCCCAAAAAACACAGCAAACAACCCTTGAGTTGAAAATTCGCACAATTCAGTATCAACAACGGATTGATGCTGATCAAAAATTCAGTGTTATTGCTTATTGGTCAATAAAAATGTATGAAGAACCACAGGTTTGGGCGCTAGCGAAAATCGTTCTTGGAGTTCCAGCAACACAATGTTCTATGGAAAGAGACTTCAACTCGTTCGGTGCTGTTTTCACTAAAACACGTCATGCAATTTGCTCAGAAAATCTTCAAAACACTTTGAAAGTCAAAACGAACAGTGCTCTAGTACAACTAGCTTTATCACACATGTTTCAGAAGGACAGAAATGCCATGCCCAACAATCAATAGCTAACTCGCAAAGGGAATGCTGTGTCGAGATGATATACTTGATTTGATCCGGATTGATTTGAAAACAACATTATCAAATAAATATTTGCATATTTCTTTCGTTTAATCATTAAATTATCAACATCATAAATAAATTCGTACTAGAAGTATGCACACCTTATTCTTCTTCAGTTTCAATTGGTCCTTTCAATCGCTCTTATTTTTATCCAGTTTGCTCTTCTTTAACATTTCGTCCAGCTGCCCCGGTTTTGAATATCCGTTTCTTACATTTCTTACTCTAAACCTGGGTTTAGACAGGGCAAGTCAATTGATCAAGTCAGTTGAATTCAACTGACTTGAACGCGAATTGAACGTGTAAGCCATGCAATTCAACTGACTTGATCAACTCACTTGAATTGAACAAAGTTGAACCAGGCTCAACTTTTCAAGCCAATTGAATTCAACTGAGTTGATCATTTGACTTGCCTAGTCTAAACCCAGCTTAAGGTGCTCTGTTGAAGCGCTCATCCTGGGTCAGCTTTCCACTCTTAGCCTATCGCGTCCGTAGCTCGTTCTCCTGTCTTATACGTTTTTTCCTATCTATCGGTCCAGCCTTGTCCGGATTCAATACCTGTTCGATCCGTACATAATCTGCACACAAAATAAACTTTAAATCCAGCCTTTCTACTGTTGTCTTCTCTCTTCCACTCAAACGCATCTTCCCGGATCGAAAAGGTACTGTTCTGCCGCATGAAATTCTTCAACGTAGCCAAAAAGAACAAATTCAGGCACTTCTTCGTCAAAAACCAGTGTAGGGGGAGGAGGGGCATAGTAGCCAGGTGGGGCATAATGAGCTTTCTGTACATTAACCTTGGATTTCTTATGTTTCGAAACAAAATAATTGGTCATTAATCATTACAATGGTGATATTGAACCTACTATAATTTTTTATTTCAAACAATTGGAGGTTTGGGACTGAAGTGCGGGATGCTCATTATGCCCCGTCTGTTCACTATGCCCCTCTTACCCCTATCTCTATTGCAAATGGTAAAGTTCCCGCTGAGTATCCGGTCTGCTTCGTCCACCACCAGAAACTGCGCTGTGTCCACCACCAGTACTACTGCGTATTGTGACCATTGAAATGGACCGCCAACCAACCTGGCAGGGCAACCACAATGCGCAAGATTAGGGCCACAGTGCCACCTCAGTCACTGGGCCTCCAGCAGCTGATCCGTTCCGTCGTTTATGACACATACATAGGCTGTCCGGCCACGAAAAACTGCACCGCGATCTAGTTGGCCAGTTCATGTAATTAGCACCAAGCACTGGTTGGTTCCTCGCTCAATTGTTGCAGAATTGACATAGCAAAGGAAAAATTCTTGACGGAACCGATTTTGGCTGCGCCTGTGCCCGTCCAGGATGCGTGGGATACACGACTGATGGATCAGCGTTGCACGACGAAAATCTATGAAGTGGGGCCGGTGTCCATCTGTTCTGCTGTGAACAAAACAACAGATATTCACTAGAAATAAATATTGTCAGATAAGGCTTTATTTTAGAAATTTGATGTGTGTTACTATTTACTCGCTGCAGTAGCTCCTGTAACCAGCCAGTCCACAATTGCAGTTAATATAAAAAAAAAAACAAGTCGCAAGAAATCAAACATCCGACTCGCTTTGTTGATAAACACAAAATCAATACAGGGGTGCCATATGGATTAGTAGTACGTTTGTTAAAAATCTGTCATTTTTATTTCTCAAATATGAGTTAATTCGCTTTGTATACAAATTTTGATTAAAAATTCATATAATTTTAAATAAATTATTCAACCTGAACTGATTTTAAATTGCAGGAAATCACCGTTTTGATCACTAAGCAACAATCAGGCTAGCCAGTTCTTTGTACAGATTTGTTCAGTTTGATAAACTTCTAATAGGCATAACATCTCTGATCACGCCTTCCTTTGGAAGGGAAGTAAAACCGTTGAGTTGATGAGTCAATAGGTAGGGTCCAGGTGTGGGTGCTGCCTCCATGGCGTCGGTAGCATTGGTGCTAAGCACGGAAAACAAGATCGACGGAAAACAAATCAAAGGAAAAAAATCAAAGCCTGTCAAATTATCGAATCTGTCTTGGAATTTGCACAGAGAAATTAGTCAGAGTCTATTCAAAGCTTTACTATATAATCCAAAATGCCTACATGAACAAAAAAAAAAAAAAAGATTTTGATCATTAACCATTTTTGTCAATCCTACCAGAACTTTAACCTACTTTTGACAAAACGAATGCCCTAATAAAAATACCAATAAAAGAGAGCTTAACGACGTGTTCGGGGTATCATCCAAATCATTTGTGGGATAGTTTACCCATCCGCGATACAGTTCGTTTATGGTATTTGTTTATTAGGGTGGACAAAACGTATAAATAAACTCGTAAATAAAAGTATAACTCACTTTAATTCATTTCGCCATTGTAAAATTTACAAAAAAAAAAAAATCACTCTTGGTTTCGAAATTTAAACTAAAAAAAAAAACAATGCACGTGATTTTTAATTCGATGCTGCTGATTAACTTTCTGCAATAAAATGAGTTTAATACAAAGGTTGTAAATTCAACTCGAAGTTATTTTGGAAGTTATTTTCTATGTTCGAAACATAGAATAGATAACATGCTTATGCTGTAGATCGACCAGTTTTCGAACAGAAATGTCAATATTTAAATTCTTCTCTGTCAGAAATAATCAAGGAGAGCAGTGTTAATCGATACCTTTCCATCTATAAAATTTTAACTAAATGTTTAAAAAAATCCCCAAATGGTTCAAATTCTAAGTTGCTGAAAGTAAAAAAAGATAATGAAAAGTCGCCAACACTGCTTCTTTTCATGCTACTAGCAGTGCAGGAAAGCTTTTGTAAATAAAACCTGATTCGATGTGCAAAAATGAACCCTTGTAAAAGTGAACCTATTGACAGCTGAATTGTTTTGATGTTCGGGAACCGAGTAGGGAAATGCTGCTCACGATCCGGAGAATCGAGTTGAATCAGCATCGCAAGCAAATGAGCAGCTTGATTATTTTGTGCATGAACGCCTCGAACTTCTGAGGTTCGCAGTAGTGTGGCGTGGTTCTCTGCTGTGTTTTGCATCGAAACATGGTCATTTACAGAGGCTTTCCAGCACTGATGTTCACTTATCAAACCGTGCTCTTTAGCCAGGTTTGTGTGACGAGTCCGAAAATGACGGATAAAGTTTCCGGCATCGTATTTTGATTGGATGTATGTGCACTTGTTGTTGCCTTCAATCCGGCAGTACACCCGTTCTCCGTCTTTTTGCACGAATTGGGCTGTGATTTCGGCAAAACTTTTAGAATTTTCAGTTTTTCTTTTTTGGCTTTCCATTCTTGGGATTCTACTTTGAACCAAATCTTAACGTTTAGCACTACCACGCGAAGATCAATTGAATCGTGATCAGTAAGTCAATTGATAGACTTGCCTTTTCATTTGACAAGAGTAAAACTCGATGAACTGTATGAATGGTGGTTCGAATGAATGAGGGTTCATTCAATTGAACAAAATAAAGACAGCGAAAAGCAACCCGCATGAATGAAGCACACCCATCTGTCAAATCGATTCATTGATGGTTCTGATGAATAGAAGAGTTGTCAGAATCGACTGATTGTTCATGTTTGCTCGGATTCAAATGAATGATTTGAAAATTTGCAGCACTGATTGTGAGACCAGGATTTAGAAGAATTCAGCAGCTTTTATGCTACGTTCTCACTACGCTCTATATCACGTTATATACGGAGATGATATTCTATATCAAGTAGGGTGTTCACACTACACAAACGTGATATAGCTTGACATATTGACGTTTCTGTTAAACAACTGTCATCGATGAAAACATTTTTTGAAGCGGTTTGTTTCGTCGTAGTTTAGCGGTCAGTTTTGTTTCCTGATGGTGCGTGGTGGTACGTGAATGATTAAAATGGCTTACGAACAGATAAACAAACAAGTAATTTCTTCGATTGCCATGCAATATTTCTTAAACATGTCGAGAGCGTCCAACATGTATCGTTTGGTGTCGGCGCAGGAAATGGCAAACAGGCGAAAGCGACAACAGCATATGAACAATATTATTATACAGCAAAATAGGATCGTTGCGCTGTCGTCTGAGATTTCCGGCAATACTGCACCTCGATCGGTGTGGACCAAGGTAAGAATCTTCAATATTTATCAGAAGGCAGATTCCGGCGCACAATTTCTTCAATGAGAATTTTTTTTCTCTCACTGTTACCGCAATGCACTGAATACCAGACAGTCCATTAATCCAGACTACATAACAAACATTTGTGATGATTTGAAACGATGACAGAAAGTCATAGCAAAATTTACGTGCTGTTCTGAGCTTGGTAAGCTTTACTAATCAACTTTAAAACTTGTCTGGATTTCGGTGCATTACGGTAACCATTCAGTTTTGTCTTTCTTTCTCTTATAAGAAATGATTTGCTGGAATTCACTTTCAAATCACTTTCTTTTATATCATCTTCGATAGGAGTTGTGAAATTACTCAACTATTATGTATTTCAGAAAAGGACTGGACGGTTTTATGAAGAGGATGCTCAGCAGAACGGAGAACATTTTTTTAAAGAAAATTTCCGGGTTGATAGATCGTCGTTCGAGTTGTTGTGCACAAAAATGATAACCTTGAAAAAGCAAGACACCCCGTTGCGAAACTGCATTCCCGTCAAAAAACGAGTCGCAATAGCGCTCTATGCACTAGGATCATCAGCGGAGTACCGCACTATTGCCAACCTGTTTGGTGTAGGAAAATCCACGGTTTGCGCCATTGTCCTGGAGTTTTGTGAGGAAGTTTGGAGAGTTCTCCGCTGCGAATGTTTCAATTCGTTCCCACTCCAGAACCACCATATCAAGGAATGTGTTGAAGGGATGGAACGCCTTGGCTTCCCACAATGTTATGGTGCAATAGGCGAGGAAAAATATTTTTACGCATCATTTGAAATAATTTACGAATATTTATAATCATTCATGAATACTTTTCCTTCATAATAATATTTCTATTAAACTATTTTTAGATGGTTGCCACATCGAAGTAAGACCGGAAAGTGATGATGCCGTGGATTACCATAACTACAAAGGGTGGTACTCTACGGTGTTGTTCGCATGTGTGGACTACAGGTAATATACAGGGTAATTTGCATGTTTCTGTTGGTAGTTGTTCAAAATAACCACTTCCGTCAAGGTTTCTGGAACCTTTCCCGGAGCCGCAATATGGTCAACCCTGGGTACAACAGTGTACCATGGTGTACAACAGTGTTGTTATATGGTCCATAGTGGCTACTTGATTATTGGAATTTTGCTAGGGGTGATCCATCACGTATCTTACGCTCTAAGGGGGAGAATGGTTTAAAAACCAGTGACAAGCAATGTACTGCCCATAATCGCATATCAGTCCCATATGAATAGGAAATCAAGCAAAGATGGGACTGATATGCGATTATGGGTAGTGTACTAGGTGTAGAAAAAGCGTGATGAAAGGGGGAATAGGGGGGTTATTAACGTCAATCTATCCAGCGGGACAAACTTAACGAATTTCAAAGTTGATACGTGTTTTGGAATGTACCAATAGCGTACCATAGCGTACCTTCAAGGATTTTGAACGTACCTCAAAGCTTCCCGGAAAACCCGTGTCCTGCTGGATAGACATACGATTTCAGCAATGACCGAGTCGATCGACCAGATTTCTACGGAAATGTGACGTACCAAATGCGTACTTTACGAATCTGTCATTCATTTTTAACGTACCTCTTATTTTCACTTAAATGCTTATACTAAACTTTTCAAATCGTTTTATATATGAATTCTGGGCACAGAATTGGATTTCTCGGAAAATTTCGGCCGATTTCATATAAAAAACACTATACTTAAGTGCATTCTAGCCAATTTGAGGACCAAAAACAGTTTTTTTAAATTTGCATCCTTTCAAAATATACTAATTTCGAACAAAACCGTTAATTTCATGAATAATTATGGAGACGCACGGTGCTGTTTGGAAAACTCCATCATAAGAAAAGCCTTGATAACTTTCTGATCGACATGACCAACGTACCTAACTGGAATTCACTTTCTGATAGAATTTACCAGTGATTTAAATAAAAACAATAATATTATTTTCAAAATAACATTTAATCGATGATACATTAGAGAAAACCTGATCAAATGATCAGATCTCTATCAGAAATCAGGTTTTCTCAAATGTATCATCAAAAATATTTTATTTTTAAAATAATATTATTTTTTTATTTAAATCACTGGTAAATTCTATCAGAAAGTGAATTCCAGTTAGGTACGTTTGTCATGATCGATCAGAAAGTTATCAAGGCTTTTCTTATGATGGAGTTTTCATGAAATTAACGGTTTTGTTCGAAATTAGTATATTTTTAAAGGATGCAAATTAAAAAAAACTGTTTTTGGTCCTCAAATTGGCTAGAATGCACTTAAGTGTAGGTGCAGTCGCAGTCACAGTGCCGGAGTTCACGACATTAAGTATAGTGTTTTTTATATGAAATCGGGCTTAAATTTTCCGAGAAATCCAATTCCGTGCCCAGAATTCATATATAAAACGATTTGAAAAGTTTGGTATAAGCATTTAAGTGAAAATAAGAGGTACATTAAAAATGAATGACAGATTCGTAAAGTACGCATTTGGTCGTCACATTTCCGTAGAAATCTGGTCGATCGACTCGGTCATTGCTGAAATCGTATGTCTATCCAGTGGGACACGGGTTTTCCGGGAAGCTTTGAGGTACGTTCAAAATCCTTGAAGGTACGCTATGTTACGCTATTGGTACATTCCAAAACACGTATTAACTTTGAAATTCGATAAGTTTGTCCCGCTGGATAGATTGACGTGGGTTATTATTACTATTTTATCACTATTATTTATTTATTACTTTTTTATAATGTTGGGGTTATTCCCAGAGTCGATGTGACTTTTGTCACTAGTGAAGTTAGAAAAGTCATGTCATGGTGACGTGACTCTCCATTTGATTTTCACAGAGCGTCACTTCACCACGACATAATTTTTCTCACTTCACTAGTGACAAACGTCTCTTCGACTCTCGAAATAACCCCCGTTATCTAACTTTTTTCTTTCAACAGATATCGGTTTCAATATATAAGCGTTGGAAGTCCTGGGCGGTGTAATGATTCCAAAATTTTCGAAAAATCTAAACTCAAGACAGCGTTTGAAGATCCAATTTTGAAGCACCATTCAAAAATTATTGGTGGAGTTCATGTACCCGTGCTGTTAATCGCCGATTCTGCATTCCGTTTGTCGGAAAATGTCATGAAACCTTACCCGTTTCGTGCAGACGCTACGGAAAAGGAAAAAAACTTTAATTATGCACTGTCAAAAAATAGGCGAGTTGTGGAAAACGCCTTTGGGCATTTGAAAGCACGATTCCGACGTGTTGGAAAAGGAATAGATAACCACATCGATAATGTAACGCTAATAATAAAAGCTTGCTGTGTCCTTCACAATTTTTTGAACAATCAAAATGATGCTATTAATCAGCAATGGCTACAACAACTACAGAACAAGGAACGTGAAACGAATCGGGAAATGGCAGAACAAATTGTGATACTTACAGATATAAACCCATCTGCGCAATCCATTCGAGAGGCGATTGCGAATTATTTGAGTAAGTAAAACTAATGTCTTGCTAAAAACCTCTGAGTGAGCAAATCCTACATTAAAAATTGTTTTATTTCTTCAAATAATTATCAGTTGCTCAGGAAAATTTTGACATCATATTAATGAACGTCTCATTGAATAGCTTCGCGTGTTCGTTCATCTCCCTTAGCAGTTCGTTTCTTTCGGTTTCTAAACCAATTAATCTCTCGTCAGTCTCTCGGACACGCTCGAACTCCGCTTGTATTATTGCGTTGCTCCTCTTCACCTCATCGAGAATGTCCTGATTGACGATCTTTTTTTTCTTCGCAGCTGAGCGTCCCGACGACGATGGAGATCTAGATGAAGATGGTGTCGGAGGGATCTCCGATCCACTACAAGGGTGTTCATTCTCCAACCATTCTTCGGTCGCATCTGAAATGTAGAAACATAATAAACAGTTTTAATGATAAATGCATTGAATTACATGCGGTATACTGAAAAACAGCTAATAAATGCCTAATTCAAATTCTCTTCGAGAAATGAACCATTATGATTTTTAAAAGGATCAAAAAAAGAAAAATTCCACAAAAAAATTTACTAACTTTTTACTTACAGTTTAGGGAAGGTCCAATAATTATGTCACGCAAATTTGGCCCATTTTAAACCCCCCCTCCCCCCTCTGTCACAGTTTTTGTATGAACCTTAATTTTTTTTTGTATGACTCGTCACAGCTTCCAAACCCCCTCACCCCACTCCCCCCTTAAAGTGTGACATAATTAATGGACGATCCCTTAGCTCAAAAATGTACAAAACATTATTGATTGAAATGTAAATAAATATTCGTGTTTTTGATCTTGTTTCCACATCGCTTGGTTTTTTTTAATGATTCTGTTTCCAGTCCCGTGGGGAACAACCTTGGAGTGCCCCAGGGAAGTGTATTACCCAAGCAACACACATGTTCTATAACAGTTTATAAAACCTTTGTGTGACTGGATTTGGTTGTAAAGAAGTTTACTCAACCTAATTCTATGAATCTGTGTTACTTGGGTAGGGCCCCTTTTATTTATTATGTATATTAATGACTTGCGGCGTGTTTTACGGTTTTGCGACATTAATCTTTTTGCAGATGATACTGTGTTATTCATTGCAGCTAAGGATTTAGAAGTTGCCGTCTCATACTTGAATGAAGATTTGCAGTATCTAAGTAGATGGTTGAAGTGTAAGCAGTTAAAATTGAATACAAGTAAAACTAAATTTAAGGTAATTTCGCGGAATCGATTAAATGAGAACGTCTCTGTTGTAATTGATGATGAGACTATTGATCGCGTTCAGGAGATTAAATATCTTGGCGTGATTATTGATGACAAACTTAAGTTCAACTCTCACATTGACAATGTCATCAAGAAAATTGCCAAGAAGTATGGAATTCTATGTCGATTGAAAAACGATTTAACTATTGCCAGTAAAATACAGCTATACAAATCAATCATCTCTCCTCATCTAGACTTTTGCCCATCCATTTTATTTCTGTCCAATGCAACACAAATATCGAGATTACAGCGCTTGCAGAATAAAATAATGCGTTTGATTTTGAGATGTAATAGATTCACTTCCTCAACTTTGATGTTAGACGCCTTACAATGGTTGTCGGTGAAGCAAAGAATTGTATATTTGACTATGGTGTTCATTTTTAAAGTAGTTAACGGTTTGCTGCCTCGATATTTGTGTGATCGAATTGAAAGAGGAAGTGACTATCATAGATATAATACTAGAAACGCGGATGAAATAAGAACACCACATTTCTTGACTTGTGCTTCACAGAATTCATTATTTTTTAAAGGAATAAATGTTTTCAATTCGATGCCAAGACACATTAAACGTTCAACAACATTAGCAGAATTTAAGAGACATTGCATTTCACACGTTAAAACTGTCTTTTGAACGGTTATCCAGTGATTTTTTTTTATGAATTGACAAATTATGTATCTTGACGAAGTTATTTTTAACGGATTACTTTGTATGGATAGCTGTTATAACGACTTTTTAATAATTATTGTAGCACTGCAAAAACTATTTTGTTCGCCACGATGGTGATGATGGATTTTTGATATATGATTTAATAGTAGTAGTAAAAAAAAATAGTAGTCTACAAAGGTTTGAGCCTCGCGCGCGTATTACGGATATAGAGGACTGAATTTAACATTTGATAAAAAAAATGCAATTTTGAAGCTTATTTGGAAGATACCTTGAGTTAGTAGTAAGTTTTCTGGCAAATGTTGGGGGTTCGTGAGCATTCCTGACATTGCTGAAAATTATGATAGCATCAAATTGCGGGGTTACTAGTGTAATAGGATGCTTTGTTGATTGTTCATTAACTCTTGATTGCTTGTAATACTTATGAATATTTTAGGTGGACAAAAAGGCGAACTAAGAGGTGGACGCCTGAGCTTTTCAACATTTATATCGCTGTGAAGCAACTGTAAACTCTAGAGGGAATTTATATCTGTAACTGAAACCAGTTCGATTTTGTTTGCCAACCTGGTTAAAATGTCATATTTAATTATCTTAAAGATAAATCGTCCAGCTCAAACCTTTGTAGGGGTAAGAGGTGGGACCATCATCATCATTTATTATATAAAAAAAAAATCTATCATATAAACTAATCATAATATTGAATGTGAAACGAAAGATTCTCGTTACTAAATATACATATTTTTAGTTTCGTTTTTTTCTTTGTGTTAGCAATCGTTCCATTCGACAAAATTGGTAAGTTATTATAAATTAATTAAAACGACCTTCAACTGAATGGAGACATCCCACACTTAGTGCCTTAATTAGATCTTTGTTATGTATAATTTCATTACAGTTTGTGAAACAGACAGCTTATATGGAAGAAATGTTCAAGCTGGTAGTTCAGGAAGTTTGGAGTGGATACCTAACTGAGATCGACAATCCGCTGCAACGCCGAAGGTAATCGATCTATCGATGAAGTTAATCCACTCAGCATAATCCTGGTCAAATCGAATAGCCAAAGCAAACTCTACTTTTTCACAATCTTCACAACATAGCCCAGCAGTTTCAGACAAGCGTGGCTTTAGTTCGGAAGACTCCTGAATTCGATAGTAAACAATGCGGACGTTTTCTTGCAGAAATAGCAAAGTTCGACTGTTTGATCGAGAATGAATATTACTAGGTGAGATTTCAAAGTGTAGAACACATAATCAATAATCTTATAACTTCGTGTGTTTTTCATCAAATCGCTAGAACGACCACTTATCGCTAAAAAAAAATGAAGGGCATGGAGGATTCGTCTATCCAGAAGTGGAATAGGATACCATAAGTGGAGGCCCGAGCTTTTTGAGGAGTTGAAAGGTTGATTTTCAAGGTGAGTTTTGAAAGGTTTGTTTAATGGTGGTCTTTTGTTGCAGTGATTGAATCATTTCTGGTACACCGCCTTCGAGTTAGCACCACTGAAGCCACTAAGGGTGCCATAAATTGCTGCACCAAGGGAAAGAATTTCGTCAGCCGATCCGATTGTTCAGAAGAAAATGGAATCTGAATCCAGGAAACCAGCTCTGCCGACAGAAGGACGGTTTAGGGTGCTGGATGCACGGGTTAAGTATGTTCGCTTTACAAAGATCTTCAGGAAGGCCAAGAGTACTCAGGGAATGAGTGAGGGGAGCGTCAGAAGATGGAACGTTACATGGAAATGTGTCAGACTGTACTCAACTGCGTTTGAAATCTCATAGATAAAAGTCTAATCAAGAGCTAATAGATCCCAACGACAGTTCGGTGCTGTATGTGAAACGGAAGACATTCACAAAAACGATACCGTATAGTAGGAATACCGACTGTAATATAGAATACTAGAAGAGTAGATATGCAAGAGCACTGCCGAGAGAGCAGATGAATATATAGGAAAAGATTCATGCACTAATCGTTATGAGCTAACTAATTAAACTCACCGCCGGCATCAGAAATGCTCTCTTCTACAACCTCTTCCACATTGTGGATACGGAAACTGCCTAGAATTCGATGCACTTCCACATAATACGGCCACTTTGAAGGCGACCCTCCAGATGGCCCAATCAGATTTTTCTCTTTCCTGGAAAATATTTGAAACTCGAATTTTCACATAATATAATTGATTAACTTCCCTTACCTGTATCTAGCAGTGAGATTGTGCATCCTGATTTTTATCTCCTCAGCAGAAACCGTAAACCCATGCTGCTCGAACGTAATCCGCATCTCCTCTACCACATGACTATTTTTTCTTGACCCACGAAGGTCGTTGATTTTATCCTCCCATAACTCGAACAGGAGAGACATTTGAGCTGCTGTCCACACATTCCGCTTGCTCTTGCTGCGTTTTCTTGCTGGCTCCATTTTCTTTAATTCAAATTAAACTCAAGTTGCGATTGAAGAAGGAAATTGATAAATACAAAACTGAAGGAGGCAAATGAGAAAATTGATTGGGAACATGCATGCGTCAAATGGACTGTAAACAAAAATATCGCCCAGTGCTATGTAGGCCGGGATGCCAACTACCACTTTTCCACTTTATATTACGAAAGGAACGTGATATACGCTATATCATGCTTCGTGCGTAATATAGAATGACAGCTTATTTATATGGGATATTACTTGATATCGAGCGTGATATAGCTGCTATATTACGAATCGCTCTATATCAAGTAATATAGAGCGTAGTGAGAACGTAGCATTAAGCTTTAGAGCTAGAATATGTGAGTGAGACGACATTTAACAAAATTTCGGTACCGCATATAAACAAAAATAATTCTGGACCAGAGAAATATGAACTATAGAACAGGAAACCAGGGGGCTAGCATCCCTATTTCAATCCTGTACGTTTGAACGCAGGCAACATCGTGGGCTTTATTTTAATACTGCCCGCATGACGTATGGATGGTGGAAAATGATGGAAAATCATGTTTGAAGTAAAAGGACAGGGCAGATGATAGTATCAATAACATGGCTGCCAGTCAGTCCTCTGAAGAAAACTATTCAACACGTGTGTTTGTAGATTTGTATTTGAGATCAAGTACTGATTTAAAACACCGAGTGCAACTGCAGACCTACGGATCTCGGATATCTACCCAGGTGTGAAAGCCGCCCCTTGGAATTCGATGGTCGTCAAGGGAAGTCAACCGATGCCCGTCGGCGGCATTTGATTGAGAAGCTGAGACCAACGTCAAATAAATAAATGAAGAATATGAAGAAGAAGTATTATCTGTACACATTTGAATGATGCTGTTATGTATTGATATTGTGTACACTGATAGAAATTATGTGAGTTGATCTTGGAGAACACTGATTGATATTCAATTAGAATTCACATTTCAAATAAATGTTTGTTCACACGTAGGAGAATAATGAAAACATTAACAAAAGACGTTAATTAGAAGAGACCTGATTCTTAATCTTTTTGGTATGACAGTAATAAGGCTCTATGGTGTAACTCTTAGCAATAAGTTATATTCAGGATGTGATCTTGCAAATTTTATAAATTTTTGGATGACATTAATGTTGCTGATCTTTGGTTGGCATAAATAGCTAAGGATGGGCTCCATAGAACACGAACTTGATTGCAGGAGTAAGCCAGGGAGAGTAAGAAGAAATATTCCGAGCTGCACACTTGTCGCTGAACAGTTGCGGTTACTTATATTAAACTTATTACGGTGCACGTGTGCTCCTTGGGGTGCTCTTCGTATTGAAAAAGTGGTTTAATTGTTCCAACGTAAGAAATAAGAGTCGATTAACAGTCTTAATACGGAAGAGCACTACTACGGCATCAGTGCCCATTTCCATCATATCGAATAGAAACCGTCCATTATTTTTTAATTAGCAAAAATAATTTATGAGGTTGTTAATCCCATCAATAATACAAGACTCCTGAATGATGAGAAGCTGATACAAAATAAAACATATGAAGGTTTTATCTTCTCCTAAAAATAGGTAGGATTGATGTAGAATGTGATGGTTGATTGTTGGAGTATTTCGGAGCTACACTGTTGTTCATATTTTGTGTGTGTCTTGCCTCGTTGATTTTGTTCTTCTGATTTGTTTCAGTATATGCAGGTGTGACGTGCGCTACCCTGTGCGTTTGATTTGTTTTGTTTGGATGGAGTGGAGAAGGGATGTAGAGTTCAGTAATATTATGCGTTAAGCAGAGGTACGTCTCTGTATGGTTGGACTAAAATACATCCCTGTATACGTCTGATAGTATTGGAGAAAAATAGGAACGAGAGGATGATCACAAGCGGTATCGAGAGAGTTGCGATACGAATATCACTGGAGGTGGACGGCAGTAGCTGGTTGACGCAGAACGAACCAAGAGGCATCGGGCGATTCTACACGAGGGTATCAATTTGACGCAAGGGCGTAGCCAGATTTCGAGCTAGGGAGGGGCGAAAAAAAAATTTACTTTGGAAAATTTTACCGAATGTCATTTCACCGAACGCCATTTCACCGAAAGCCTTTGTGTTGCTAAGTTTAGACGTTTGATGATGACGATTTGACGTTTTGATGCCTTAATCCATATTGTCGATTTGGGGCCATTTTTTATTTGGTTTGGTAATTTTAAAGTAAATTCACTATTTTCAATCTAATTCGGCGATTTTTCCAGCAGAATAGTAGCGTTTATATATGATCTGGATGTTAGTATTTTTCATAGCAATGTAATCGTCTTGCTAAGTTTTCTGATAATTTTTTAAGCCAATTTTCCCGTTGTTTTTATTATTCACTGATTTGATTTTTGCCGTATTTTTTGTCCATACTATTTCCTGGCTATTTTAGGCTCTTTCGACGATTTCAGCAATTTTGAGCATTTATGCAGTATATTTATTTTAAGCTCTTTAAACCGATCTTGGAGTCATTTTGAACTACAATTTATATAATAAAGGTTGGTGGCTCTCTATTTTAAAATAATTTCTCAATGTAAGTTAAAATCAATTGAAGTTTGAGAACCGCTGCTTTAGCATGATTTATTTATGCTATATGATCACAACTAAAACAAAAACCCTTTGTATATAGCAAGGACCTAGAGATGTCGACCCTGCACGTACACGAAATTTCCATGATCACTAGTGCCACCTAGCAAGATAATTTTGAACTAAATTGTCATCAGTTCAAAAGGCCTTGACCTCCTGAACAACATTACAGAAAATAGCAGCTTTGTAACTCGCAAGGATCACGAGATATCGACCCAGCATTGACACAAAATTCACAAGAACACTTGTGCCACCTAGCGAGAGGATTCCAAAATAAATTGTCAACAAAAGGCCTTGACCTTCTGAAAAACATTGCAGAAAACATCTACTTTGTATCTAGCAGCAGACGGAAGCAAGTTGCTATAAAAAAATAATTTTCTGAATTTTGAAATCATTAGATGCAATAATGATATTTTGTACTTGTTAGACACAAGAAGAGGTTGAAAGGCAAGTGTTTGGCACATGCAACCTGTTAAGATAGTCACAATCAGCAATTTTTCGACTCGCGAGCGCTCACTCTGAGTGAACGCTCGCGAATCATAAAATCGCTGATTGTAACACTCTGGAAACAAAATTGACAGGTTTTATGAGTCAAACACTTGCCTTTCAACCTCTTCTTGTATCTAACAAGTACAAAATCGAGGGGGACGACTCTATCTACGATACAGGAAATATTGTGTTTTGCTGTGGCTAGCTACGCGTACGCTGAGCAGATAGAAAGAAGATTTATCACGATTTTGAAGATTTCCTGCAAAAAGATGATGCGTGATGCAGATAGATGCGAGAAATGAAAGAAGATTTTTCAAAGATTTATCCGCTAGTGTGAGATTTTTTTGAGCATCTAGAATTGAGATTTACATGTGTCGCCTCCCTCGTACAAAATATCACTTTAACGTCTAATGATTTCAAAATTCAGCAAATCATTTTTTTATAACCAGTGAGTGGAAGCAACCCTGTCTAGTACGGATCTCGAGGATTGGACTTGCCATGTATGCGAAGTTTAAAAGAACACTAGTACCACCTTGTGAGAGAATTCTGAACTAATTTGTAAACAATTCAAAAAGCCATAGCCTCCTGAACAACAATGCAGAAAACATAAACTTTGTGTATAGCAAAGATCTCGTGATGTCAACCCAGCATTTAAACAAAATTCATAAGAACACTAGCGCTGCCTAGTGAGAGAATTTCAAACTAAACTGTCAAAAATTAAAAAGGTCTTAGGCTCATGAACAACGATGCAGAAAACAGCAACTTTGTATCTAGAGGCATAAAATCTCTGATCACGCCTTCCTCGGAAAGGAAGTAAAGTCGTTGGTCCCCGGTCAATGAGTTCATACAAATCGGAGAAGCACGAGTTTTTCCGATTCGTCATTTGGCGCGAAACTGCTCAATTCAGACTGATCAGTGATCCGGGATATCAGGAAATCAAAAAAAAAAAAAGTTGGAAGCCTCAGATCTCCAGGAGAAGTCCGGAAAAGCGCGTGAATTAAATGGCAAATCGGAAAAA